AGGCCCCAGGTGGGCCAGGGAGACCTTTCCATCCGCGACCTGTGGACGCTGGAGACCACCCACCGCCTGGCCGTCTTCACCCGGACCTGGAACAAGAGCACGTCCCGCTGGCTGAGGAGACTTGTCTTCCAGCGCTGCCCGGCCCGGCCGCTCCTCGCCACCTTTGCCTTCTCCGCCTGGTGGCACGGCCTCCGGCCCGGGCAGGTCTTTGGTTTCCTGTGCTGGGCTGTCATGGTGGAGGCCGACTACCGCATCCATCCCTTCCTCAGCACCCGGGCCACCTCCCAGGGTCTGAAGCTCCTCTACCATGGCACAACCTGGGTCTTCACACAGCTCATCGTCGCCTACATCCTGGTGGCTGTGGAGTGCGAGAGCTTCTCCAAGCTCTGCCTGCTCTGGACTTCCTGCAACAGCATCCTTCCCCTTTCCTACAGCCTCTCCCTGCTGCTGCTGCTTGCCAAGAAGACGAAGCAGAACTGAGCCTGTCCTGAGCTAATTTTGTGTGGCCAGTGGGGCACATCCCTGCACACGTGAGCATGTAGGGTAAGAAGCAGTACTGTCCAAGCAATCTCAGCATCTCCAGAAAACCAGATTGCTTTTAGTCCTGGGATATTCCCCAGCTTTGAGGGATGCTCTGAAGCAGGGAGGCAAGGTCACCAGATTACTGGGCAAGAGGGCTTCTACCAGCACTGCCTGCCCAGTGCTTCTCTTGGGGCTTTGGGTCTTAGCCTCCTCTCTCATAGGAAGCACACAACCTCCCCACCAAACTCATCTGTGCTACAAGTGCACCAGGCAGCAACTGTGTCCAACTCCTAGGAACCTGTCCCCCATGGTGATAACAGGCGCTGGCAGAGAGCTGCCTTGCCACCTTTCTTATGTGCACAGACCACTGGGAGCCTGGGCTCAGGGAAGGGGGCTGGCAGTCTGCCTGGGGGCAGCACAAGACAAGAAACACCCCTTTCCCCACCCAGCAGTACTACTGAGATGCATGGGTCTGTGGTGCTCCCCCAGCAATTGCTCCTCAGCACTGTCCCTGTGGCATGTGGACCCCAGACTGTGTAGCCAGTTAGATGTCTCTTGCAATACCTGCCCCACACCAGGTGGGTGACATGCTTGGCCCCCAGGGCACAAAGTCAGCTGTGTCCCCTGCCACACAGGGAACAGGGATGATCCATCCCCTCCACCATTCTTGCAGAGGAATCTGGGCACAGGAGCAAGAATGCCTGCTAGGAAAAGCGGGGCTACTGCCCGTGGTGTGCTGAGGACAGCACAGGCAAGGGAGAGTAAGTCAGCAAAGTCCTAGGACTCAGCTGTGGCATTCAACCGAGGCTTAGGTGTCACTTTCCCCACAAAGATACAAAGCAGAAATCCTAATGCACTTCTCCAGTTCACACATTGTCCTAGGATCCAAAAGCCTAGGACTGTTTACACTAGAGAAGAAGCATGAGCTACCATAGGGGAAGGTATCAAGAAAGCATAGAGATAAGAGTTTCTGTTTATATGAGAGCAAGAAGCCACCCACCAAATCTCAAAATAATATAGCTGAAAATGCTACCAGACTATTGTGGGCCTCTGGTCTGCTGCACATGCTACTGCAGGGTACCAGAACCAACACCAGTCTCAAGTGCCCAAACTCAAGGCAAAGCATTTTGATCAGGTTAACATTGCATGCTGCGCCAGTCCTGTGCCAATATCTGTATCAGTGTTTGCCACTAAACTGAAACTCAGCAAGGAAAATGGATCCAACCTTGGTTTATGTGGGTTGACTGGATTCTTGAGTCCTGCTGAGTAGCCAACCCAAGGCTTGCAAGCCACTTGCCACACATATAATCTCCCTGTTGCCAGCACAGCTTGAATTTGCCATGGCCAGGCCCTGTCTCCTTCAGTGCTGTCCTGCAGAGCTTCTTCCAACTTATTCCCTATATCCATGCTTAGAAACTGAGACATCTCTTCATCTTATCTCGGAAAAACACGCTGGGCTCCTTCAGGCAAGAGCTGTTTCATCACTCTGCTGGTGCATGCATCAAGCCAGGGCCAGACTTCCTGGGGCAATGTGTCCAAGATGGTCCACAGGACAGTGGTTCCCAAGCCAGAAGGCTCCTGCCACCTCTGTTGGAGGGAAGTGGACCCAAGAATCAGATGTAAGAAAGACAGTGTATTAAAAAAATCCCCAACAGCCCCAGTTGGAGCCATCCCACATTCTTTCAGCAGGCAGGGACTTGCATGGCCTCCTCCCTAAGGGGATCAGGGGAAATTCATTGCAAATGGGTGCCCAGCCAAGGAACCATCCCCTCCCCTCAGCAGCAACCATAGCCAAACACATTTAAAAAAAAAAAAATCCAGGTGAGAAGCCTGGAAAAGATTCACAGAAAGTGTATGAAGTGTCAAAAAAACTAGGGAATTAAAATTTCCCCCAAAGAGCAGGCTGGATCTGGAGGTGAACCGAGGCTGGAGGAAAGTACTCATGAATTTCTCCCTGTTCTGAGCTGGGAGGGGGGTAGCTCAGCTAGCGACATCCTGTCTTAGCTAAGCTGACACTGAGCTCTCTCCACATGTCCCAAACCTACCCCTCCTCCAAGGGCTGCAGAACTGGTGCCAGGAGCAGGGCAGCTCATCTCTTCCTTATATTGGGGTGGAAGAGTAAAAGCAGCCCACAGCCCTTAGGAAAATCAGTTTTACTGAGCAGCAGCACAGCCTCTCTACCAAGCTGAGTGGCCGTTATATGTCTGGATGGAGAGAAAGGGGCTGCAGGAAGCCAGGGCAGCTTCTCCCTCTTCCATCATGCTGCTCTGGCATCACATCTGTTGGAGGAGCATGTTCACAGTGCACCCAGCCCTATGTATTTCTAATTCAAACACCAGCAGCAGTAAGACCCTCCCAGACCACAGGACAGTGGCCCTGGCCTTTTATATGCCAGCTCATCTCTTAATAAAGGGGTTAATTAAATGCTAGACACAAGGGACAGGTGAAATACCAGGTGAAGGGAGGGAGCTGGAGGGATGGGGAAAGCAAAGCGACCTGGTCCTGACTTCCCCCGCAAGGCCTTGGAGGTGGATTGGGGATTTTCCATTTCATTAACTTTACAGTGGGTAATTCCCAGCATGCAGCATCATCCTCGTGAGCAGACCCATCCTGGGCTCTCTCTCACCCTTTCACAACCAACAGCCTGCACAGTTGCACCACTAAAGGGGAAAACCATGTAGTCCTGCTATCTAACCAAGGTAATAGGCAGCTGCGGAAAATACAGCTGATGATACACAGAAACAAGAGTAATTTTTGTTTTTAAAGTGAGAAGCAAAATGGATGCCAGAAACTAAAAAAAGATGTGAATTTGAAAGCCCCTCCTGGTTCTCCCTTGGAAAGGAGCATTATGTGAATTGCTCGTGCTCCCCAGGAGAAGCAACCAACCGTTCCTCCCCATCACCCACTCTGGAGAGTGGTGGTGGTGTTCCCAGGCAAAAGGGCTCTGATGCCTTAGGGGAGGTTGGGGATGAAAGGACCATCCCACAGGTGCAGAAATCAGCACGAGAACATTGAGTTCATTAGAAACATGCACACACGCAGGCAGGAGTTTATTAGTGCACAGACTTACCATACAAAAAAAAAAAAAAAAAAAAAAAAAAAAGATATCCCCCAAAATAGGGGCAGGTTCCCAGTTTTGTCTGCTCACAAATTAACATTGCTGAGGGTACTAAACATGTCTCGTGCACTCGGATTGGAGTGTGGGGCAGGAGCTGAACGCACATTTGCAGCTGAGATTCAAGCCTCTCGTATAAAGGGGCTGTGTGCCTTCAGCCACAAGGCAACTGGGAGCCCTCAGCTGCCTCTGAGACACGTCCAAGGTCAGAGCAGCTGTAGCAGTTTTAATGTGTGTGAGAGGGAGGCCGGCTCAGCAGACGCCAAGTACTGGCAGCACAGCCAGTCCTCCAGTTCCACGCTCCGCTCTGTGTCCACAGCCCTCTCTGCAAACTTCATCATAAGCAGGGCACGCTTCATGTCCACCCAGTTCTGAAGCACCCGGTGGAGGGCTTCCTCATGGTTCAGGGGCTGCTCGGTGAGGTCTTTCCGGGGCCCCCAAAGCAGACACTGCAGCATCCGCTTTGCCTCGGTGATCCGCACGCGCTTGATGGGATCCGCTTCCAGCAGAAGGTGGGCCAGCTGCTGGAGCCCCCGGGAGTAGATGGACAGGCTGGGCAGAGCAGGGAGGTCCTCAGGGCTGTACTCCTGCTCCCTGAGGTGCACCTTCTCCTCAAAGGGGTTGGGCTGGTGCAGCAGCTCATAGATGAGAATACCAGTCTGAAACTCATCAAACTTTTTGTACTGAGAAGCCGACACAATCTCCGGGGCCAGCCGGGCCTGACTCTTCTTCAGTTTGGAGTCTCCAGTTCCTGGCTTCTGTTTAGCTTTCAAAAAATTGCTGATGATGAGGCGGGGGAAGTGTTTGTCATCTTTGGCTTTCACACAGCTCATGGGGGGCTTGCAGGGGACAAGCAGGAGGTTCTCCAGGCACAGGTCACGATGGATGATGCCGTGCTCTTTGAGATGCTCCAGGCCATTGCAGAGCTGGAGGAGCAAGAAGCAAACGCGACGTTCGTACAGCTCAGGCTTGGCTTGGTGCAACATCACTGAGTCCCTCACAAAGTCGGCAGTGGTCTGGCTCGGCACCTCCCGGGTGATGACGACCACACAGTCATGCTCGCTGGCAGTGCGGGAGGGATGGAGGCCATCCCCAGGCATGCTTTTCCCCACATCTGAGGCCAGCAGCATGCTGGAGGGGACAGAGGCCACAAAATGCCCACAGTCCTGCTGGATGTTGAAGTGGACTGGCACTGCAGGGCTGCAGTACGAAGCAGCCACCTTGGACTCCTGGGTTTTACAAATCTGTGAGGAGAGACCAAAAGAAAAGTCTCATCAGTTAGTGACAGAAACAGGGCAGAGACCAGAAGTTCAGAGGTGGGTTCCTAAGCTGAGATGTGCAGAAGCTAAGGAAGAAATCAGTAGAAGCAGGGTGTGCATTGGTCTCTTTAGTACTTTACACTGTCTCCTGGCTTGAGATCTTTCTTGTCCTGCAACACCACAACCAGAGCAACCAGATGTCTGGGCACGCCTCCTTTCCCAAGCAATGTTCAGTATTTGCAAGGAAAGGAGGAAGGTGGTCCTCCCACGAGTAACTGGAGATTTTGCTTCATTGCCGACAGAAGTGACAAAGCTTTTACATCATGGATGTCGTTTAGATCTGCCCCCTGCAACCCAGGAGACATTCTGCAGGGGGAAAAGCAAAGCCTGTGGCAGAAGATGTGCCGCCTTCATCTCTGGAGATGGTTAACATTTGCCTGGATGAGGCCACATACACCATCACGTGGCTGCGAGGGTGACCTTCTTTGAAGTGAGGGGTGGACAGAGACCTCTAGAACTTTCTTCCCACGTAACCCTTTTCTGGTCCTAAGGCCTGGAGCCACTTTCAAATCCTCCTCAACCAC